AATAGAAGATAGGAGAAACAATATAAAAGCAAGACAGAGTACAGTAGCGTATACTGTTGTAGAGAACCAGGCGGGAGTCGAGGATGCAGTCGGCGGGGAATTGTGCCGAAGTAGCGAAAGGAAAGAGACCGTTGCTTGGCAACGGTAACCAGAGAATGGTACTTAGGCAAGCAACAAGGGTAGCGTCACTTGCTTGCTTGTTTGTTTCCACTCTAAGCAAAGAATTGATCCTAGCGAAACCTCTAGAGTTGCGCCCGTGGAGGAGCCAACCATAGCAAGCCACTGAAGTGTTGTTTGCTGTCTTGCCAGGCAGTCAGCCGAGTTAGGTTTTCCTAGCTGAGTAGTTCTGGCTAGGAACTCACAAAGTGGGAAAGGCTGGGCTAAAGACCCAAGGCATGAAGAGAGAACTGAGGAACTTGATGGGGTGAAGGGAGAGAGAGGCCTAGATAAGTATCACTGAAAGGAGCCGACACAGGAAGAGAAGTGCAGAGGAGGAGAGAGATTCCGACAGCACCCACGGGCTCTTCTCCGGGTCGTTCTCTAGGCACTTCTCCGTTCCTTCCATCACCTCCAGCAGTTCATAGTGGTCAAAGATATTCTCCATTTTGAAGGACCATTCAGCAAAGTTGTCACCGTTGAAGTTGTCAAGGCCAAACACTCTAGGCTCATCCCTAGATGGGCCAAGACTTGGTTGCACGGGAGCCATGGGGGGATCATGGGGTTGGCCTTGATCTTGGGCTTCTCCACTGCCACTAGCACCTCTGCCACCCCTTTCCTCAGGTCCAGCCATTGTCGAAACTTCTCCATGGGGCTCTGATACCACTTGTTATAGACACAATAGGCTCAAATGTGCCTAAAACGAAAGATAGAGTGCGGAGTCGGATTTCGGCAGAGCGGCTTCAAACATTGATAGCGTTCTGCTCACAGCACCAAATGAGGTGCTATAACTTGGATCTGGAGCGTGTTAACGTCGCCTACAATTATCAAGTTGAATCGCTTGATTTAATAATCAAATGACGACGTAAGAGTAGTTTGTGTGAACGGCGTTCTAGCAGCAACTATAGTCTTAGAGCACAACTTAGGAAGAAGTGACGAGTTGGAAATGACTCCCAGCCTCTACAAACCCTAAGAGCCGAGTTACAGGGAGCTTGAACAGTGCCACACAGTTCCCAACCTCGAAAAGTGTGGAAACCACCCACCATAAGGGTCTACACCAAGAACTATGTTACTCTACACTATGCAATGTAACTGTTTTCACTATCTTGGTGTTTACCATTTTGGCGAGCTCTGAAATCACTTGATTCTTGAAACCAAGGCTATGGGTCTTCATTATAAATTCTTCCTTGAGTTCTTCAAGGCTTGCTGCACACACCTGCGACACGCCGAAGGTTCGACACATGACAAAATATAACAAAAACGCACACGACACACAAACGACAACATGACATGCGACTAGCGATAACTCGCTATTGACTCGACACACACATTCGACATCATGACTCATCATTCACACACTATCATAAGCATGAAATATATATTCTATCATGCTCTCATACTATTCCATGCAAACATGCATGCACGCACAAGGACAACAAGCCGAGTGCAAACCATAGGGTTGCACCAACAGTGGGGGCATTCCTTGGGCGAAAATCTTGTGCGTGTTGATTGGACTGCGAATTGCGATGTTTCCAAAAATGTAAAACGAAATCACACAAAGCAGCCCAACCAATTTTCTCCAAGTTCCCAACTCCCGATTCCCAACATCTCCCCTGATCACAAACCTGGCAACCACAGAGGCAAGTGATAAAACTTTGCCTCCCGCTCTACGAAAGTGCACCGCGGCTTTTAATAATACTACTGTATAAATCATCTACTGACACAACATGTTTTTACCTGTGCAATAGTGCAAAAATATGTGCAAACGGGGGTTCAGATTGCGCAATGCAGAGCTCGACGTTTCAAGACTCTTGACATAAAATCAGTTGACACTGTGAATGTTAGTGTGACGTGCCCCACCTTCGTGCCTCACTCTTGCAAACCTTTCACACTCACGTTTACAAGATGCTGGGCCATGGGGTGCCTGGTTGACCATGGTTAGTAAAAATAAAATGGCTGGTGCTTGTTTTTGCTCGTATTGAAGTATGCTCCGCCCTTACATAAATAACAAGCAAAACCAAGAGGGGGAGGGTGTTCTGGGAGATCAAGAGGGGGAGGCTGTTTTGTAAGATTCACAAAAAACCCTTACACCATAATCTTCCGAATATAAGATTCGAAAATGGCAAGGTGGACAATGGGACAGCTATCTTACACATACATTGTGCAGATTTAGGGTGTATATGAATTCTCAATTTAAAACAAAACTTCCATGTTTTACTACGGACAGGCATTTCTTATCCACGCCTTGTCGAACTTTCAAGAATTACGCGCGGTTATTAATCGGGCCTGACGGCGAATACCTTGTCTGCGCTGGCATGGCATCAAGGCATCTTGACAGCCGTCACCCACTTGACAGGCATAGTATGATTAACGCCTCGTATCATAGTTGTTGAATTGTGTTGGAAAATAGAAATTATGGAGGGAAGGGGGGTTGAGAAAAGGGGGGGTTGAGAAAGGGGGGAGGGGGGGGGGGGGGGTTTGAGAAAAGGGGGGTTTGAGAAAGGGGGGAGTTGAGAAAGGGGGGAGTTGAGAAAGGGGGGAGTTGAGAAAGGGGGGATTTGGGAAAGGGGGGAGTTGAGAAAGGGGGGAGTTAAGAAAGGGGGAAGTTGAGAAAGGGGGGAGTTGAGAAAGGGGGAAGTTGAGAAAAGGGAGAGTTGAGAAAAGGGGCGGGGGGGGGGGGGGTTTGAGAAAATGGGGGGTTGAGAAAGAGGGGAATTGAGAAAGGGAGAATTTGAGAAAGGGGGGAGTTTAGAAACGGGAGAGTTGAGAAAGGGAGTCGTGATAATACAAGTTATGGAGGGGGCTTCCTTACGGATTGATACCGTAATAAAAGACCCACACCTGGACTCTTATTTGGGAGGTTACAGTACAATAAAGGGACCCTAAACAGTACACACGAACTGGGTAACACTCTCAGGGGTGCGTACTACTGGCGGGTCTTATGTACAGGGATTACGGTACTTACGAGATCTTTGCATGTCATTTACACTATGAATTATGGGGCCCCTTGAATTGCAGAGTACCGTGATCTCCGGATAAATGCAGGTGTGCTTTCAACGAATCAGGGCAAGAACTCCAATGCGCATATAATCAAATAGATTTGTTTCTGCATAGGATAGTGAAATTTAACAACCACTGAATTTCCTTTTTACAAGTACAGAAGTGCAGCCCTCGCGGTTGCAGCTTTGGTCAAATATAGTTCAAAGTGTAGGATTACATTGTGAATTTTGATACCTTCATCCATTCACCAAATGTTCCCTAACGGTCCAATCGTACACCTTGGTGGTGGATAGCAGTGACATGATTCACACACCACCAATGTTGATTGGAGGGGCAGTTACCAGCGACAGGATGAACAGCCACTTGGGTTTCTCTATGAGGAAATGTAGAGGAGCCTGGTGCACAGCTCAACAGAGGTCCTTGATACCAAACTATTTTGCCCGTTTATTTCCATTCATCTGTTCGGCAAACTGCGAACATTTTCTTACACATACCAGAAGCTATGGCTTGCTTGTTCGGCACAGCGTTCCCTTTTGAGATTGTCTGAAGGAGGTCGTGGTAGACACACCACCACAGGAGGTCATGCGAAATTTTGGCACAGGCCTGCCGCTCAATTTCTCTTCTCCTGCTGCTCCTCCAGAGCCACCAGCACCTCTAACACTGCGTGATATGCCTGCATAAAAGGCACCTCCTTCACCTACCATCTTCATGAATGGTGCACCAGTTCTTACAACAATCTAGCCAGATTCCAGTACTTCTGAGGACGTGGTTAGTAGCAACCAACAGCGAGGGAAGAGAAGATGCGGCCGACAAGGAGGAGGCAGCAACGCGTTAAAGCCACTCCAAAGATTGGCCGTGGGACGAGGCAGCTGTCCGTGGGAACGATGAAGCATACTGGTCGCGTGACAGGCTTCCGGAGCATCTGCTCATTCCCAATTTCCCCCTCTTAATCAAAATAGATCGCACCTTTTCGCCCAGAACAGCGATGTGCCTTCCTCCTCCCAAAACAGAGAGATGAGACGCAAACGACATGCTTACACAGTGCAAGAGAAGCTCAAGTGGATCATTCATGTCGAGGCGGTGAAGGTAGTGAGCGTAGTATCACGGGAGTCGGGAGTCTCGTGGAAGCAACTAGCAGCATGGAAGAAACCGGAGTTGACATCGGCTGCCACATATCACAGGCGTGTGCATGGCCACGAATGGGCTTCCTGGTACAGCGACATGGAGCAGGAAGTATATGCCCATGTGATCGGGGTGCGCTCCATGGAAATTGCGGTGTCTGCCGATCGGCTTCAGGTGTGGTTCTGCGAGGTGATGAAGGAGCTTAACCCAACACGACTGTGTAGTGGAAAGGCTCTCACTGCTGGTCTGGACGGTGGAATCTATCTGTGCATGCGAAAAGAGAAGTTAGGCATAAACCATCGCACTGTCGGTTCGCTTGGTCGATGCTGCATTGGTGCCTGGTATTTCGGTCAAGCATAAGCTTCGCTGAATGTCACTAGATGTTTTTAGTGCTGTGATAATAAGTAATAAGGTGTGTTTCAGCTTCTACCTTTCTGTGCTGCCCCTTACAGCAAAGTGTGCAAAGAGGGTGTTGAGCTTCTGGCGCTTTGATTGGCGTAGTCGACGGGTGTACGATATTGACACGAGGTGGATCATCCATGCCGACTCGACATCTTTGGGGCTCGATATGCCCACCCATTACACTGTAGAGGAGATCGGCAGCAACTCCGTCCCTATCAGAAGCGCTGTTCCAATGCTTCGATCCACACAAATGCATCAATTTTGTAAAACATGGTAGGTATGTATATACACCGTAACTTAATAACTCAAGCGCAGTTCATTCAGTTGTGGCCGTCACCCATGCTCCTACTTGCTTCCCCACTCGTCACCTCGCCAACAATCGAGCCCTCATCCTCTTCAGGACTACCTACGTCATCCGTTGTTCCCATCACCGCACTCTCACTCCCTACTGTCGACGCAGCTGCAGGGCTCACACGATTCTCCCTCACTAACCAACTCGCTCCACCCGTTCCCAGTCCTCCCAGGCCACTCCCTTGCTCCAATAGGCTCTCCCCCTCCCGCCTCACCACCTCCTGGTGGAGCTGCTTCAGCTGTGAGAGCACTTTGGCCATGGAGGGGCGCGAAGCAGCGGGCATGGCAGTGCATGCCAACGCCAGGGATGCAAGGCTCTGCATGACGTCAGCATGCACCATGCTGGTGCGGGAGGCAGCAGGGGAGACCATTCTGGGGTCTATGATGGGGATGACGTCACCACTGGAGAGCTCTGCAGCCGCCTGTATGATGGAAGAGAGGGGGATGTGAAAGGAGGGAGTTTTGATTTGAGTCGACTCAAATGTCATCCGGGGCAGTGAGTGGATTGCGGTATGCAGATGAGGGAAATTAACTTGCGAGCGAGTGTGAGTCATTGGAAGAATGGATGAACGACGAGAGTTTTCAGTGAGCTGACTGGTTCCAGTACGGGAATAAGAGGAACGACTCACCCACTCCTGGATTTGCCACTGCGAGACATCGACTGAGAGAATGGCTCCTGAGGTGCCTCAAACATGACTTGCCCAGTCCCGGATGTGTGACTGTGAGCCATTGACTGAGAGGATATACATGGCCGTTGAGAATCCTCAAAGGTGAATCAAGTGTGCAGATGAGGGGAGTGCGACTCACCCAGTCCCGAATGTGTGACTGTGAACCATCGACTGTGAGGATGGGCTCCCTGCCAGTCAGCATCTCCAGCAGCAACACTCCAAAACTGAAGGGGGAAAGGGTGTTTGATAATGGAAAAAAGAGAGATGAGGCAGGAGAGAGGAGAGAGGGGAGAGGCAAGAGGAGTTGTGGTCAACGAGAATCAGAAGCAGTTGCTGCAGATTCACACCTGGAAATGCTCTGATGCACACAAATGGACTATTGCCAATCACACAGCCATCCACCCCGAGCAGATCATACGGCACTTCTGCATGTAGGGATACTGATGATAAGATGCGGTGGTGCTATATGGAGCGCACATAGCCCACACAATGCAGCACTGCACACCTGTACACATCGGTGGCGGTGGTGGCGAGGTGGGTGTCGTGGTATTCGGGGTCCACATAGCCCGGTGTGCCCATCACCCTGGTGGGATTCACTTTGCTCGCCTCCATCATCCGCATGAACCCAAAATCCGCCACCTTCGCCTGTGAGGGTGGGTGGTGTTGTGGGTGTGGGGGAGAGGGATGGGGAGATGGGTCAACCCCACAATTTACAGTCTTTGTCTGCATGGGCGAGCCACACAAGGTAAATGGCATGGAATAGAGGGGAAGAGAGGCCAACGGGAGGGAAAATGGTGGAAGATTCGTCAATCCAAAATTCGCCACCTTCGCCACCCATGGGCGGGCGGAGTTGTGGGGAAGAGAGAGGGAGAGATGCATCAACCTAAAATCAACCACATTCACTGTGGACAAACATCTCAAGAGTTGATGGGTTAGTTGAGTTAAGTATTGCAAGACTTAAGTGGTGTGGCGAGAAGGAGGAGGGAAAATGGTCAAGGGGAGAGATAAAATGGTCAAACGTTTCATAAAGAAAGGGGAAAGTGTATACGTAACAGTGAACGAGTAGATGGATCCTTAACAGGAATGCATGAGCAAATGTGGATACATCTGGGTGTCTCACCCAGCACGTCTCTCACCCGCATTTCAGCATCCAGCAGCACGTTGGCCGGCTTCACATCGCGGTGCACGATCCGACGGCTGTGGAGGAAGCTCAGCCCGTCTGCCACGTCCACCAGCACTGCCAGCCTCACACGCAGTGACATGGGCTTCGCCCCTGGGAGGTGGGGGAACGAGAAGACGTAGGGGGCGTGAGGGAGTTGGACTTTGTGGGTGTGAGATGGGCTTGGCTTCTGGGAGGCGGGTGGATGGGAAATTGCAGAGGGTTTGAGAAAGTAGGGGTTTGTGAAGATGAATCGAGACAGTGATCCCCTCCGTCTGCCTGCTTTGCATCACCCCCTTGTGATTCGATCCGAAGCTCTGTTGGCAGAGCCTCACCGGTCTTAACCTCACCTGGCTTGCTCCGAACCTCACCTGGCTTGCCCCGAACCTCACCTGGCTTGCCCCAAACCTCACCTCGCTTGCCCCGAACCTCACTTGGCTTTCCTCAAACCTCACCTGGCTTGCCCCAAACCTCACCTGGCTTGCTCCGAACCTCACCTGGCTTGCCTCAAACCTCACCTGGCTTGCCCCAAACCTCACCTGGCTTGCCCCAAACCTCACCTGCCTTGCCCCGAACCTCACCTGGCTTGCCTCAAACCTCACCTGGCTTGCCCCAAACCTCACCTGGCTTGCCCCAAATCTCACCTGGCTTGCCCCAAACCTCACCTGGCTTGCCCCAAACCTCACCTGGCTTGCCTCGAACCTCACCTGGCTTGCCTCAAACCTCACCTGGCTTGCCCCAAACCTCACCTGGATTGCCTCAAACCTCACCTGGCTTGCCCCAAACCTCACCTGGCTTGCCCCAAATCTCACCTGGCTTGGTCCATTGCCAGAGGTCTCCGTTGGGCATGAAGTGAGACACGATGATCTGCTCCATCTGTAGGGTCGCCTCGTTGTAGTCGATGCAGTACCCCAGCAGTGGCACCAGTGCTGGATGCTTCAGCCGTGCCATGTCTGCCACCTGGGAGAGGGAGGATGGGGACAGGTGATGCACGGAGGAAAATGAGGGAGGGTGGTCAGGAAAGACGAAGTGAAAGAACGAGGTGTGCGTGAGAGCAAGTTGTAGCTGATGCAGTACCCAGCAGCACCGCTAGCAGCCTCACGTGCTGCAGCCACGACAGTGAGATTTTGAGACATGAGACTCTGCAGCCCTCCTTCTGAAAAGCGTGGGCTTCCTAAAATCAGTTTGCAAAATGTGCATATGGGAAGAAAAGCTAGCTCATGTTGATTTGACTCATTGTTGCTAGCATGCATATAGAAGTTGAGTTATAGATGTGATTGGCTTCACTAAGCTAACTTGGGCGTTTCCCATCCCTTTCTAGCCTATAAATTTTATAACTCAACCATCCATTAGTCTTTAAAATGATTTCAACCCGTAACGTATTCCCTATGTAATGGTTTACTCATCTCTTCCCAAGTATCAGTGAGACCATTCGTTTTTCGCCAGAGTAAACTTTATCCTCACTGCATAGTGCTCACACCTTTGATAGCGACAAACAATACACCGTTGAAAACAGAAACGTAAGACTAAAAGCTTCCTGGTTTTCAATCTCATCCCAACCCATCTGACCCATTGCTCATGTCTAGAATTTGCAGTTTCAACTGCAAAATGCATCCTTCTCTGCACACCTCTCGCACAAAGTCATTGAAGAGCGCCGTGGCACTTTTGACAGCCCACACCCGCCCCACACCACATAAAAAATGTGATTGTCCTTACCTCCTTCATAAAGTCGTTGGACAGCGCCGTCGCGCGCTTGACAGCCCACAGCACCTCCGGATCTTGTGGATCCACGCCCTTGTACACGTCGCTGAAGCCCCCTGAGCCAATCAGGTTGACCTCCGAGAAGAAGTTGGTGGCCTGCTGGATGTTCGCCAGTGAGTACTGCTTGCACGCTGAGGAGGAAGGGGAGAGGGGGGGGAGGAGGAGAAGGGAGGAATGGTTGAAAAGAGGGTTGGAGGGAGGTAGAAATTGCATGCATGCCGAACAGGTTAATCCCTGAGAACCCACTCCGTGGATATATCAGTCTCCGTTGGGAGGAGAAAGAAATCAAGAGAAGGAAGCGCCATACATTCATACATAGTAACTACAGGCCGAAAAATTTGCGTGGTTGGGATGAACGGAACCAGCAGAGGTGATTGGCAAGAGCCTTGAGTGTCTGGCATCGACTGGCAAGCCCGGCCACCTTGAGGCAGCTGGGCTTTGCTCGTGAGACTATGCAGCATTCACCTACCAGGCTTCGTTTGGCGGAAGCGGAAGCAGAGTAGGATGATTAGGGCGATGAGAGCAAGGAGTGCAATGAGTGCCGCTGCCACTATGCCTGCTATGGCCCCTGGGGAGAGAGAACTGGTGGAAGCAGGGGCGTTGGCTGAAGCATGGAGGGGGAGAACCGAACAAGGGAGAGAGGGCAATGATAGTGATGAGAGTTTGGAATGAGTGTGCACATGTGGCTGCGATGGCTTCTAGTCAGAGTGGGGTGGTGGTGGGTGGCAGAGCAAAGGAGGCAAATGGTGTGAGAAAGAATTGTGAGAATAAGGTGCTGGGAGCAAGGAGAGATGGAGGGACTTTATGAAAATCGTACAGGAAGAATCCAGACCAGATAAGGAACTGGACGAGAAAAGAGGATGGGGAGGGAAAATGAGCGAAGGAGACGAAGTATTGGGAAAGCAAGAGTGGGCTCAGGATGGCAGGAGATTTAGCAAATGAGAGGTGTAATGAGTGATGGAAGTTGTACGGTGGGCGAAGCAGTGCAGGAGGGACAGAGGGAGCAGAAGCAGCAGGAGACGCACTGGGGGCAGAGGGGGAGCAGCCAAGGCAGTATCTCTGGCACACATGGCAGGTGGTGTTGGGCGCAGACGCAGGGGAGCTGGAGTCGGCGACAGGTGGCGACGTGGGATTGGCTGGTGGCGCATGAGGGGGCATCGGGCTGGCGGGCGGCGCAGGGGCAGCAGGGCAGGTGGCATTGTCGTTGCAGAAAATGCTGGGGGTGCCGTACCTGGTGTGGTTGGGGGAGGGGGAGTGGAGGGTTGTGGGCCGTGCCATTACTGGTACACAATGTTACATACAGTTGTCACCATTGAATGCCTGAGGCGGGGACTGAAAATCGTGAGTTATCACACGTAGAAGGTTCACGCTTAATAAGCCTCAATAGATAGGGAGACCGTAGAACATAATCACTCATGTACCAGCGTGCATTGAAACAAACAGTTTTCCTGGAAAACTCTTCAATTACTCCTCAGGGAAGGGTCGGAGTGTCTCACAAGGCCTGCAGCTGCCCCAGGCTGTTGATGCCCCATGGCACTGACCCAGTCACCCCAGTGTAACTCAGATCCCTGCAGTACAGTTCAGAGAAGAGCAGCTTGGTTACAGCCTGAAAATATTATTTCCTTACAGATAATGGACACTATGACAAATAAATAACGATCCAAAACCGCGCACAGCTAACTGCTATGTATCCCACTCCATATCAGCTAAGGAGAATACAGGCTCCACATGTCTGTGCAAGCTGACAGCTTCTTCTGTAAATGCATTTTGAGGCGCTTTAGAAGGCATTGTCGAGGGGGGTTGGTTTGGGAACATGTGCATTTCAGCAGCAGTGTGCCACGGAGTGATGTGTGGCTATTACAGTGCACGGCATAGGGACCGAAAACCAGGCGTGGAGCGTGATGGCTTTCAGGAGCAGCAGGTTGGAGGTGTGATGCTGAGAGTCTACTGCAGGGTATCTTACAGGAAAACCAGTTTGGAGGTGTGACGCTGAGAGTCTACTGCTGGGTTTCTTACAGGAAAACCAGGTTGGAGAGTGACGTGAAGGAGTCGGGGATGGGACCTGTGAGGCTTGAGCGGCTTAGATCCCTGCACAGGTGGTGTGAGGCGTGGAGGATAATTGAAGATACGTATGGGGGCATCCACGGATGGGTTGTGAGTGAGAGATGCATGCCGAGCAATAGGGCATGGTGAGCACGTGAAGAAGGGCGAGGAGAGGGAGGAAGGAGGGCATGACCCGATACAGCAGCCTGCATTTCCACACGAAACCTTTGCACACACACTGGACATGCCTCGGGCTTACTATTTTAGTGGGCCACCATCCCAGTGGGCCATAATGGCATGGTAACCAGGCATAGTGCTAACCGTGACGTGGTTCAAGGAAGGTATTGCGGATGATGAGGATAATGGGGATGATTAGGATGATGGGGATGATGAGGATGATGGGGATGATGAGGATATGGGGGATGATTAGGATGATGGGGATGATGACGATGATGGGGATGATGAGGATGATGGGGATGATGAGGATGATGGGGATGATGAGGATATGGGGGATGATTAGGATGATGGGGATGATGACGATGATGGGGATGATGAGGATGATGGGGATGATGAGGATAATGGGGATGATTAGGATGATGGGGATGATTAGGATGATGGCGATGATTAGGATGATGGGGATGATAAGGATGATGGGGGTGATGAGGATGATGGGGATGATGACGATGATGGGGATGATGAGGATGATGGGGATGATGAGGATAATGGGGATGATTAGGATGATGGGGATGATTAGGATGATGGCGATGATTAGGATGATGGGGATGATAAGGATGATGGGGGTGATGAGGATGATGGGGATGATGAGGATGATAGGGATGATGAGGACGATGGGGATGATTAGGATGATGGGGATGATGACGATGATGGGGATGATGAGGATGATGGGGATGATGAGGATAATGGGGATGATTAGGATGATGGGGATGATTAGGATGATGGCGATGATTAGGATGATGGGGATGATAAGGATGATGGGGGTGATGAGGATGATGGGGATGATGAGGATGATAGGGATGATGAGGACGATGGGGATGATTAGGATGATGGGGATGATGACGATGATGGGGATGATGAGGATGATGGGGATGATGAGGATAATGGGGATGATTAGGATGATGGGGATGATTAGGATGATGGCGATGATTAGGATGATGGGGATGATAAGGATGATGGGGGTGATGAGGATGATGGGGATGATGACGATGATGGGGATGATGAGGATGATGGGGATGATGAGGATAATGGGGATGATTAGGATGATGGGGATGATTAGGATGATGGCGATGATTAGGATGATGGGGATGATAAGGATGATGGGGGTGATGAGGATGATGGGGATGATGAGGATGATAGGGATGATGAGGACGATGGGGATGATTAGGATGATGGGGATGATGACGATGATGGGGATGATGAGGATGATGGGGATGATGAGGATAATGGGGATGATTAGGATGATGGGGATGATTAGGATGATGGCGATGATTAGGATGATGGGGATGATAAGGATGATGGGGGTGATGAGGATGATGGGGATGATGAGGATGATAGGGATGATGAGGACGATGGGGATGATTAGGATGATGGGGATGATGACGATGATGGGGATGATGAGGATGATGGGGATGATGAGGATAATGGGGATGATTAGGATGATGGGGATGATTAGGATGATGGCGATGATTAGGATGATGGGGATGATAAGGATGATGGGGGTGATGAGGATGATGGGGATGATGACGATGATGGGGATGATGAGGATGATGGGGATGATGAGGATAATGGGGATGATTAGGATGATGGGGATGATTAGGATGATGGGGATGATTGGGATGATTGGGATGATGAGGATGATGGGGATGATTAGGATGATGGGGATGATTAGGATGATGAGGATGATTAGGATGACATGACCCACTCTGGACGTACAGGGAGGTGAGGTCTGAGAGGCGGCCGATGCTGGTGGGGATGGAGTCCGAGATGTTGTTCCGACTCATGTCCCTGGAAGGGAATTTTCGCATACATGCAATTGGAAGGATACGGGACATGTTATGGGTGGGTAGATGAAATGAACGGAAATGGTGTGAAGTATCCATCATAATATGCATTCTCATGACCTGCTTTTAAACCGGACATCCATATAAATGAGCACGAGAATCCAGTGCACCCACCCATCTAACACCAATCAGCCGGCTCATATGTGCATAGATCATGCAGTATGAAGATGGACCGCTCACTCTCACCCATCACATCACACACGGAGCTCATGTGGGCACGAGCATGCATCCACACATGCGCATCATTCATATGGCCATCACTCACATCCGCATGAAGCATGCATCACTCACATGTGCATACTAACATGTGTATCACCCTTAAAGGTGCATTACTAACATGTGCATCACCCTCACATGTGCATCACCCTCACATGTGCATCACCCTCATATGTGCATCACTCTCACATATGCTTCACTCTCACAGGAGCATCAAACTCAAATGTGCATCACTTAAATGTGCATCACTCAAATGTGCATCACTCACATGTGCATCACTCACATGTGCATCTCTCACATGTGCATCACTCACATGTGCATCCATCACATGTGCATCACTCACATGTGCATCTCTCACATGTGCATCACTCACATGTGCATCACTCACATGTGCATCACTCACATGTGCATCACTCACATGTGCATCTCTCACATGTGCATCACTCACATGTGCATCCATCACATGTGCATCACTCACATGTGCATCTCTCACATGTGCATCACTCACATGTGCATCACTCACATGTGCATCACTCACATGTGCATCTCTCACATGTGCATCACTCACATGTGCATCACTCACATGTGCATCACTCACATGTGCATCACTCACATGTGCACCACTCACATGTGCATCACTCACATGTGCACCACTCACATGTGCATCCATCACATGTGCATCACTCACATGTGCATCTCTCACATGTGCATCACTCACATGTGCATCACTCACATGTGCATCACTCACATGTGCATCTCTCACATGTGCATCACTCACATGTGCATCACTCACATGTGCATCACTCACATGTGCATCACTCACATGTGCACCACTCACATGTGCATCACTCACATGTGCACCACTCACATGTGCATCACTCACATGTGCATCACTCACATGTGCATCACTCACATGTGCATCACTCACATGTGCACCACTCACATGTGCATCACTGACATGTGCACCACTCACATGTGCATCACTCACATGTGCATCACTCACATGTGCATCACTCACATGTGCATCACTCACATGTGCATCTCTCACATGTGCATCACTCACATGTCCATCTCTCACATGTGCATCACTCACATATGCATCGCTCACATGGGCGTCGCTTACATGTGCACGAGCAGGGTGAGGCCGCCAAAGGCAGAAGGGATTGACCCAGACAGCTGGTTGCTGCTCAAGTCACTGTGGAGGGGGGAGGGAAGAGAGGAAGTGTGAGAAGGCGCTGAGGAGTGAGATTTGCAAGTAGAGATTTTAATTGTAAATGACATGAATTAACTTTCAGCAGAGGAAAGCAGCTGAAAGGCAGGTACAGCTCCTAGAAGGCCAGTACAATAATGAGGCCTGAGAAAAATCTAGATCAAAATAGAGTAGGCACTCTTACATGCATGTCGTTGTAGGGTGGCATTTTGAGCTCTTGATACGTGCTTTGATATCCCTCTGACATCCCTCTCGCATTTGTTTTTTTTTTTACTTGTCACCGCTCCTCCATAAGTGGAGGTCCTTCGGTACTCACGCATATGTATAACTCCTTTCTGTTCGTTAAATAGGTTACTGATTCATGCATCTTGAATTCACACTGTAGCAATGCCTTTATGTATTGAACGAAACCAGCAGAAGGACATAACGAATCAGAAGTGCCTTGCATTTGCGTTGCACCGTAGTGACTCATGTCTTCTCGCTTTGAGATCTTACAGTATGTGATCCAATGCAATTTGCAATGTAACGTGCATTTAACACAAGCTGATACAAGGTGTACATACATGATTTGAGTCCAATTGGATATTATGCAAATTACAAACCTAGCTTGTCTCATGCTTGTAAGAGTTGGCCTCGTTGCCCTTATTCCAGGAATATAAGGCTCGTCCCGCTTTACAAAACATAGCCTTCAAGAATCTAGCTTAGCCAAGTGACTCTTACAGGGACGTCAACTGGTCCAGAGCTCCCAGGGATGCAGAAAGCGTGTCAGAGAGCGAGTTGGTGCTGAGATTGCTGTGCGGGCAGCAGGGAAAGTGAGGGCGAGTCAGGAAGGAAGGAAGCACAGCACGCCTCGCAGCATATAGTGGGCACATGTGCAGCAGTGATGGTATGTAGGTGAACGACTGAAATGAAGTGTTATCAAAACGGTCTGGATGGTAATTTTTGGCACACGCATTGAGAGTACATTGCGGAATGTGCGCCCCACAGCACAAAATGCAGGTGTCGCTCACTCATTTACAGGCAACACACGATGAATAAGGTTTCTGAAAGGTTCACTCACAGCCTCTGTAAGAGCGTGAGCACGCTCAGGAAGTCTGGAATGCCACCACTGAGAGAGTTGCCACTCAGATCCCTGCCAATTACAGCATGCCACGTGGATTTTCAGAGAGACAGAAAGGTTCAGGGAAAGGCAGAGATAGCAAGGATGGAGCCATTTGACCACATACACAGGTTTCAAAAACCACGTGTCAACACACATGATTTGTGGATTAAAAAGCCATGTGTCAACACAGGATTCAAAAGCCACATATGCATACAGGGATCGGACCGGCGTTCATGAGAAACCACATGGAGGTTCCGTGAATGCGGGAAACGAACGGTCTCACAGGAAACTAAGGAGCTTGAGGGCTTGGAGGGAGGGCGGGATGACGCCTGAGAACTGGTTGCCACTCGTGTTGCTGCTTGCAGGAGGGATGGCAGGAGGTGTCAAAGCGATGTGTGAGGAGGTGCATAATTGGGTTGCAAACGCTGCTGGTGCATCAACAAGAAACGCAAGGGTGGGGATGCAAGGAATAAAAAGGGTTGCAGTGGCACGCACAGGGATGTAAGGGCCACGAGATTGCCCAGCTCTGAAGGAAGCGAGCCAGAAAGCCTGTTGCTGCTGACGTTCCTGCAGGCAAGGTGGAGGGCGAGGGCAAGGGCGTCGGTGATTGCGCAAGAGATAGCGTACATAAGCAACAGGTGTGAGAAATAACTGTTGCATATGTGCATCTGTGAGGCTCTAGAAGCCCAGACCGAATGTGAGAAACAAGGGAAGTAGGGGCAAGGACTGCTGGAGTTTACTGTCGGCCAGCCGGAAGTGGGTGGCACTTGGTCTCACCTTACTTTTCCAGCTTTGAAATACCATGCACAAAGCGTTTTGTAATTCTAAGCTGCAGGTACATTTGAGTGCTGGAGTGGTGGAGTGAGAGTGAGTGAGATTGAGCGCGGATCAGTACTGGTGCTTGTTTGTACCTCTACCTGTCTTTGATACTGTGCTGTATTGACCGTTAATTCTAATCAAGGACCATTCAAGTGAGAGTGAGAGCGAAAGTTAGAGTGGGAGTGAGAATGAAAGTTAGAGTGGGAGTGAGAGTGAAAGTTAGAGTGGGAGTGAGAGTGAAAGTTAGAGTGGGAGTGAGAATGAAAGTTAGAGTGGGAGTGAGAGTAAAAGTGGGAGTGCTTGAGCCAGCCTGCTCTTACAATGAGGCGTCTGTGAAGTATTATTTTTTAGGTGCCTCGATCAGTAGTGGCTTCAGAACATCGAAGTGGTGGAGTGAGAGTGAGAGTGGTAACGCCACCGCATTCGTACAATGAGGCAAGGCTGCTGAATCGTGCGGAGTACAACGGAAATCCTCCTGTGAAGTTGTTGCCACTGAAATCTCTGTTTTTTGCCACCACAACATGGACATAGCAGAGGAAGAATGTGGTACGCAATATGCAACACAAACGCCACTGTATACAGTAAATATGCAGCTTCTGACATGTATTTTTGTGTGTGTGTGTGTGTGTGTGCGTGTTTTGTTTTCTTGTTCTTCTCCTTATGTTAGCACTGAATATGGAATTCACAGAGAGAATGTGAAAACAAGTACAGCAATGCAAGCAAGAGATTGGCATGTGGTATGCGATTTATGAGATGCGTACACTGCCGATACGTTGTACGGGAGATTGGGCAGTGACCCCTCAAAGTTGTTGTTGTGAAAATACCTGTGATGTGATGCCTCCCAACCCAACCATGCATGCAACATATCGTGGCACGGCATAATACAGTGCACCCACGCCATTCCGTATCATACCAGAGTTGGCAATTTGACAATGGGCTGTGTAATGTTATGGAAAAGCAGCAGCCAGCAGCAGCAGCGGCGGCGGCAGGTGCAAAAGCTGGACCAGAAACAAGGTTTCGTGTTATCCACTGAAATCTACACGCATGTCCCAGCAACCCAGGTGCTAGCGGGAGTAACAAAGAACACAAGATGCAGGTAGGGCGAACAGAGGGCAAACGGAGCACAGGGAACTTACAGGATGCTGAGGGAGGTAAGAGCGCTGATGGTGGTAGGAAGAGAGCCAGAGAGAGAGTTGTTGCTCAGGACCCTGCAGTGCCCATGCCGTGGGACACACAAAGGGGTTGGGTTGAGAGTCGTTTTCCAGGATGGGCCCTTTTATAAAGCTGGACTACCACCTGAAGCTGTCATGTTGATACTGCACAGGTTAGCTCCTACTAGCATGGCATGATAACGCATTGGCCCATAGATTGGCAGCATGTACTCCTAGGGGCATCATATTCGGTGATAACGATATGACAAGTTAAGTGTCTAGGCTAGCTTGATGGCTCGTGTTTGCATCAGCTGCGAGAGCACGCACAGTTTGGTAAGGTTGGTAAGGCTAGAGAAGCTTTCAGGGAAGGATCCTTTCAGGTAGTTGCTGCCAAGACCGCTGCAGAAAAGGAATATTCAACATAACAGGAGGAGCGTGAGGACATATCCAGGGGGTATGGAAATTACAAGATAAATTATCAAAAATATAATTCGAGGCCTGAGGACGTTTAGTGAAAAGACATAGCTCACAGGTCCTTGAGCGCAGGGTTCTGGCCCAGCGCAGTAGGCAGTTCGCCTGAGAGGCTGTTGTTGTTCAGAATTCTGCATGCATTTCACACATGGAGCATCAGAACGTAATACCACACAGGGTGAAGTTTGACCTCGGCAGACACAATCAGGGAAACTGAACAACTTACGCCATACAACTGGAATGGGTCAGCCAAGTGTGTGCGCCAGAGGTGAAGAGACGAAACAGCTGAAGCCTTGTAATCTCATTATAAACAAACAGAACAGTTGAACTATGTGCAAACGCTTACAGCATCGTCAAGCTGGTAAGGTTGGCAAAGCCAGTGGGAATGGGTCCACTCAAGCGGTTGTGGGCCAGATTCCTGCCAGTTCCATTTGCATTGATGTGGTGGCAAGTTAGGCAAGGGGTTACCTTAACACGAGTGAGTGAGGTCCTCTCAGTGACACACACACATGGTGGGATGGGATGGTAAAGGGGTGTGAGGCGCAATCGAAGACTTGAACGAAGTATAATGTGAAAAGGGAGGAAATGGCACTGGTAGTACTGGTCATGTAGGTGAAGGTAAAGAGGGGCTGCAGCAGGCAGGTCTGCCATACCCTCCCTTCTCATTTTCTCCTTTGTAAGGGTAATTATGCCCTCAGGTGTATTCTACACGTCGTATGCACACTGATGTGCACATTCATCTGCTGGTGAGATCCATAAGCACCTTCACATACACATGCGCATGCACGCGTCCATGTTTTGCGTGAACGTGTATGCACATGGGTGTCCTCATGATTGCGATGTTCTCATGCCAGGTTTCTGAGTGACGTCATTGACTGCATTGACTGTTGGAAATAGGCTGCGCTTTGTGTGTTAGCCTCGAAAAGATTTAGGGTGTACATTTTTTAGCTAGTTCAGTTGTTGGTTGGGTTGGGTGTAGAATTTCTCATCCCCAACATATCCAACCTTCCATCCAAAATCTCATCCATCTTTGGTTGGTTGGTTGGATTGGTTGGATCCTCCTAGGATTCCCAGGAATTTCCTTCCGATTGCATCTTATCTAGCCAACCCCTCCTAGTTTGTGCGACTTAAGGCCATGTATCCTGCTCCCTAATCAATCGATTCAAACCTTATTCTGACATTGACTTCATTGAGCATCACACCGCATGCATCTCCCTCCACGGATTCTACAAATACTTTCACGGTTCTTGGCTTCATGGGCAGAGACACTGAAATAGGCCATGCTGGTGGTGGTGTCACTTCTAGAGTACTCAGAAGTAATACACAAGTACTCACAATCTCTCGAGGGTCGTCATTCGTGTGATGGTGGTCGGCAGGGGTCCACTGAAGTTGGCCCTCTTCCCATCGCTGCAGGTCAGAAGCTCCAAACAAGTAACGCACAGAAGGAGCATTCGATAGAGCCAGTCAGCTTGTGTATGCTCCAGGTGCACTGGGTGGCTAATATCTATGCGTTGTGTGTTGTGTGTGTGTGTGTGTGTGTGTGTGTGTGTGTGTGTGTGTGTGTGTGTCCGTGTGTGTGTGTATGTGTGTGCGCGCGCACACGTGTGCATGTGTGTGTGCGTGCGTGCATGCGTGTGTGCGTGCATGCGTGTGTGTGTGTGTGTGCGCGCGAGGCACCAAGCTTACGTCCACACTAGCTGCACAAGATTGCTGATCTCCGAAGGTATTGGTCCCGACAAGGATGTATTGCCAAAGTTTCTGAAGAAACACGAGCCACACCAGAGCAGGGCACCATGGGATGGGACTGTCAATGCCAGATATAAGCTCATATTTGCTTTCATTCAACGGCATCGACATTATTTTTGTGAAACAGGCTTGCGGGACTTGTCAGTGATGCAGAGCAGAGAGCGTAAACTCACGGATATGAAAACTTGTGGATTCTTATGCATGACATCATAGGTCTGTTAAGCGGCAAACAATAATACAGAAACGTGATTCGCGGTAGGCAGGTGTGTAAGAACCTCAAGGCAAGGAAGCACTCAAAAAGAGGCCTACAGATCAGTGAGGTTGGTGAGCTGAAAGAGGGCAGTGGGAAGGGAACCATGGAATAAGTTGTTGGGGAAGTGCCTGCAGGGATACGGAGTTGGGAATATTGTTGTTAATATTGAGGGATTTGGGATGATGGTTGGTAAAATGGGTTGGAAATATAGGGAGATTTGGGGGTACTGGGGAATTTCCAGAAACCGGTTATATCAGGAACATTGGATGCAGTAAATTGACATTACTTAAATCTCATACGATACGGCACGTGCTTGCATCGTATTGTGCCACACATCTTTACTTCAGCCATTTCCATCTCATGGTTATTATATTACACCTGAAAGCGGAGGTTCATTGCACCTATTACTTGAAACGCCTCTGCTGACACCTTCATGACTGGATGATGCAATGCAAGTGCATGCATGCATGTCAGCTGTCGCAGGTTAAGAGCAGTACAAAACAGCACCTTAAAACTTGAGACAGGGGTTTGAAGGTGATTCAGAGACCAAGAGGCAGCCAAAGGCTCGCAGTTGGCATGCAGGGGTTGGAATTGACTGTTGAAACATGCAGAGTTCCAGGAAAACCCTGAATTTCTTTTATTCGTATTCATGCATACACATGTATCCAGTCAAACATGGACTCACAGTTGGGTGAGGCTCTTGAGGTTGAAAAATGCTGCTGGGACAGTGCCGGAAAGAGCATTGCCTGCGAGGCCACTGTAGGGAGCAGATGGGAGAGACGGGAGAAGGATGTAGGAATGGCTGCACTATGAAGGGCACCGACAGAGTCGGAGCAGCTCTCACAGAGTGCCAATACAACCCCGACTCAAATGACGGAGCCTGAGAGGAATACTCACTTAACGGTTGTAACACTCCTATATTTCTTGAAGCCCAGCACCCACCCCACACCACACGCTCTCTCTCTCTGGATATAAGAGCCTGAGAGCAGCAGTCACATGTCATGGTAGCACCCTCACTTTCATAATGAAGAGCCTCCAAGCAGCGTTACAGAGAGCAGCACTCACATAGCGCTGGTAGCACTCAAAATCTCATAGATTAGAGCTCGAGAGAAGCACTAACGAGAGCAGCACTCACAGTGCGCGCAGCTGTGTGAGGCTGCTCCATGAGTCGGGCACGGAACCGTTGAAATGGTTGTCTGCCAGCCACCTGAACGTATGGGTAATGAGATCACGAAATGGACGGAGACTTGGAAATGAGAGGAGATTATGTTCACCCTTTTCTAGGAATTGAGTTGGTTACCGAAGCAGCAGACAAGGTCTGACAGTATGGGGGTTAGCTAGTTCCATACAGAGTGTGCTGTGATTTTTAGTTGCCCATAACCTTCTCATCATAGCGTGATTGAGGCATGTGGTATTCCTGAGTATATTGACACATGTAAGAGTACACTTCAACGAGCCACATGCATGGAACGATAACACTTCAACGGAAGCATGCACGCATCCGAACATGAGATGAGGGCGAGTGAAGTATAGGACACGATATCACGCTCACACAAGTGGAATACAGCAGGCAATCACATTTGTGTCAGGTTGGTGAGGCGACCGATGGTGTCTGGGAGAGACCCTGAGAACTGGCAGCTGCTTAAATCGCTGAGAGGAGAGGGAAAGGAAGATCCAGGGGACTCAAGCATTTTGGAATAAAATTCACGCTTTGCAAAACTGATTTACACTACGATGTACTGTTATCTGTGGCTGTTCTATGCAAACGGTTGTTTCATAACTCTAATCTCCAACTGCTGCATGGAAACTGCTCTTTTGTGATTTTTATCTTTCTCTTTTGCATGCAACCTGTTTCACGGTAACTTTTACGTGGAACGGCTACACTGAAACTTCTACGCACTGACAATTCATGGCTGATTGGCTTTGCATGCAAACAGCACACGTGTTTCAACATTTGTACACAAGCTGTCGGATTACCTGCTTCCTCCTCTCCTTGATCCCTGTCCCAAGCTTACAGTGCGCTCAGTGTCTACAACCACTCCTACAACAATGATACGCTGGGCTTCCACACCCAATTTAGCAAATTCTACGATAGTATAGTTAGTATACTAAGATTCTTGTGACAGCACACACGTGTATGATACTGAACTGAACAGCCCCCCTCTACCCCTTACCTTGGCAAGTGCTTCAACTTTGAGTGACCAATGTCGTGGAGAAGAGTGTCTATTACTTACAAGAACTGAAGGCTGACGAGCCTCCCAATGCTAGAGGCCAGTGGTCCTGTGAACCCATTGGAGTTGAAATCGCTGCACCAACAATTTAAAAGGAGGGAGGTGTGCCTTTGAAGATTTGAAAGTGCATAAGACACAAGATAAGATGGAGGTAGAGGTATATAGATTTGGAGTGTAGTATAAGATAGAGGTGCTCTTGAATATTCGGAAAGACACAGTGGAGGGAGAGGGGTTCGTTGTCCCGCTGTTCTCTGCTCTGTGTGCACTGTGTATGTGCAACACGGAGGTTGGGGGTAGGGGGCGGAACTAACAGTTTGGTGAGCCTGGTGAGGTTGAAGAGGGAGGCGGGGATGGTGCCATTCATGTCGTTGTTCTTCAGATCCCTGCAGGCAACGCAGGGAGCAAAGTAAAGGACAGCAATTGGGCACCGTGCAGAGGGCGGCAAGATGCAGCAGTGCAGAGGGCGGAAAGGGGAGGGAATGTAAAGGGAAGCATGTTGTTGTGCGTCCACGAGAAGGTATGCGATTGAGAAGGGATGTGCATTGATCTGCAAGCAATGGCATGCAAAAAATGGTTTTCATTATCAGCACCCACACACAGGGCAACGAGGCACCCACAGGGCAACAAGGCACCCACAGAGCAACGAGTTTGGTCAGTTCTCCAAGTAAGGAGGGGATGGTGCCGTTGAGCTGGTTGTCTCGCAGCCACCTGATGGGTGGGATTCAGGGAACAGGTGTGTGTGTGCACATGTCATGTCGTGTTTGCATGGTGATAGGTGCAATGGATAATCGTATGAGTGCATGAACGAACTTGCACGTGTGCATGGGGGCGTAGCTACTTGGTCTGAAATTGTTTTACAAGGAATGCACTGGAGCTGAAGAGGACTCCCAAAATTAGCAGCAACAATGGGTTGGAAACGGTAGGAGGGAGATTGGGGACGATGCTCTACGAGATTAGCTGAAACCTTTTCATTTCTTCGGAGATTCTGGGTTTATGTGAGGCTCGGATGTGCGCAAGCACCCACCCTTCACATAATCAGCACTTGAGGCAACAAGTACAAGTAAATGTACCTGGGGAAACATGCCCTTACAGCTCCGTGAGCTGATTTTTAAGTCGACTCAGTTATCGCCCGTGCGCACAGGGCGAACATGTGCAGGTTGTGCACAGTGGCAGCATGTCATATGTACCTGAGTGGGCGCTTACAGCTCTGTGAGGTTGTGCAGGTTGTGCATTGTGGCAACATGTGCTTGTACCTGGGATCATCTTTATACTTGGGAGTATATCTGTACCTTAAAGGGGGGAAATGGGCTCACAGCTCGGTGAGGTTGTGCAGGTTGGCCAAGGAGACCGGCACCATGCCACTGAGCTGGTTGTAACTCAGCTCCCTGCCGTGGCGGACGTATGCAGTGGGCAACACACATAATGGGGAACACGTATATTGTGCAAAACACGAGTAACAAGCAGCGTCGCACAAAGCGAGTAGCATGGAAAAACAACGGGCGATATTGCCAAAGCTGGTGGGAGCAAACCCCGCCGCGTTTAAAGACACTTTGTTGTATGTCAGCGTGCTGTCATCAGGCCACTCCACCCACACACACGACTCACATTCGCTGCAGGTGCGAGAGAGTGCCTAAGCTGGTGGGGATGGACCCTGTGAATGAATACATTTGTTACGTCAGCGTGCTGCCAGCAGGCTGCACACAAGACTCACAGTCGCTGCAGGTGGGAAAGAGTGCCGAGGCTGGTGGGTATGAACCCGGTGAATTCATTGCTGCGCATCCCCCTGTAGGCGTTGCAGCAGAGAGAGGCGTGTCATGGGGGAAAAACAGTACAGGCAGGGCAAGACGGGCAGGGCAAGAGGGGCCTTAGAATGGTGGCCGGAATAGAGCAAGGAAGGGTGTGGCAAGGGGGTATTGACGATCCGTGTGACGTTTCCACGTCCATACATCCCGTTGTCCATGAAACAGGAGGATAAACACATGGTTCATCCCATTTAGGGTATACATCCCATTCTTCACCTCTAAAGAACGGTTCCCTACCACCACCCCACCCCATACATCTCTGCTACGGAGGTGTCAAGGTTCCCTTCCCTACTTGTGTTACTTCCTATCCGTACATGTTTTTGAGGGCTGAATGTGTTTCAGGCTCCTCACAAGTGGAAGCAAGCGAGTGGCCAACTTGTGCGAGCTAATTGTATGTCTTTTGAGGCCGCTCAAAAGTGCTAGCTAATTGCGTGTTCTCCTTACATCTGCCTGAGCGCTGTGAGCTCGGACAGGAAGTCTGGCAAATCTGCGTTCATACTGTTGAATGCCACAGAGCTGCACGAGGAGAGGGTTGTAGGGCAGAAGGGAAAGACGCGGGGTCATTTGTATGCATAGTGATGTGGGCGAAGGAACAGATGCAGGAAACCGTGGAAGAGGAGGGGAAGGCAGCAGAAGGGGCGGAAGGGGACGTCCGTTTCAGTGATTCTAAGCAAAAGCACATTCGATGTGCTGGGCGTTGGAGCAAAGAACTCACAGTAAGTGAGTTTGGAGGCCAACAGGGTGCATAACAAACAAAGAGGAGCTGCAGCGTTGAGTGACTCAATAGTTATCCTGTTTGATCTAGAGCGGCTATTATTAGAGACTACAAATGGACACCAACAGCGTATCGCACGAGGGGAGAGTAAGAGCTCGGCTTATAAACATACGACGCATGTTCCTTCAGCACGTGACAGGGGGGAGATAAAGGCTCATCTCAAATACTCACAAAAACTCGAGCTTTTTAAGCTTCGTAATGGTCTTGGGAATGCCTCCACTGATCTTATTGCCAGCCAGTTTCCTGCACAGGAGGAGCAGAGGCCAGCAGTGCAAGAGTGAGTGCTCAAAGGTATTTGAGGCTCAACAGACTCTCAGCCAGCCGTGCCTGTGGTTCTCAACTCAACATCAATCTATGCATGGCAGTGGGTTCGAATGCTCACAGGTACGTGAGGTTGAGGAGGATGTGTGTGGACGTAACATGTGCTAGTGGTTAAAGAGGTCGTGTGTGGAAGCTCACAGGTACGTGAGGTTATGGAGGTTGCCAATGCTGGAGGGGATGGATCCGCTAATAGCTGTGCCGGCATCAAATCTCGGGTTCCACCCCACATCCCTGCAATGACATTATGGCAGTGAAGGGGCGTGATAGGGGTATCACAGGGTGGGGGCATGATTGGGGGATCAACAAAAAGAGTGGCAGAGGGAGAGACAGAGAAACACCACCAGGCTGATGAGTCTTGTAAAAAGGATCATATCAATAGACAGATGATTCAAGACACCACTGGGCACCGATCCAAGTATGTTACGATACAGGTTTTACCCCACCACCACACTCTGGCAGCGGCATTGAGATACATGGTAGGTGGGGGAGATACATGAGATGAGACCAATAACATGGACGACAGAGTTAGAAAAGGCGCGATACGGTGACCCACACGGAGCACAGCAAATTGCATGGGATGCCATGGCAGGCATGACATGGCATGGCATGGCATTGTGTGGGATGGCATGGCATGGCATTGTATGGGATGGCATGGCATGGCATGGCGTGGCAGGACAGGGACTGACTCACATGTATTCCAGGTTAGTGAGTGCCCCTATGGCTTCTCCAATGGGACCCCAGAACTTGTTGTCGCTCATGCCACTGTCACAAGCACGCACCAACCAGCCCCACGGGGAGAAACACATAAGGTGGCTTGTGTTACATCACAACACCTCGGGAATGGCCACCGACTACCGAAAAGCGTCTCAATAACTGGAAAACTACTCACGCTTGATGTCTAAACCTTGTACAGAGGTAGCGGCATTTAGAGCATGATACAAGAAAAGCGCACCTTCATTGTTGCGCTAATATTAGACTAATAGTCACCATTACTTGTCAAGGCATGCATGTGTCAGACTTGTATGGATTATGCCAGACTTACAGCCACGTGAGTTTAGTGAGTGTGCTTATATACGATGGGAATGAGCAGTTCATGCTGTTGAAGTGGACGTCACTGCAGCCAATGAAAAACAAGAACATGGGAAACAAAATCACGATTACAACATTTGTATGATGGTAGTAGCTAGCTATCAGCCGGCACTGTACTAAGGGTCACGAAACTGCACTGTACAAAGGGTCACCAAACTGCACTGTACAAAGGGTCACCAAACTGCACTGTACAAAGGGTCGTGAAAATGCACTGCACCTGCACTGACAAAACTATTTGTGCTTGGTAAAACCAACGAAAAGAAACCCATATAAAATCAGTCTCTACCAAATCAGAACTCTGGTCAATATAGAAAAGGCGAAAGCTGATGGTATGGAAACAAGATTACAAGCAAACGGAGGGACGAAATGAAATGGAAGATCAGGCGCTCCCATAAATGACCGGTTTTTAGGGCGCCTCAAAACAAGAGGAAGAGATTGGCTCCATGCATGATTCCCAAGGCTTTGTAAGGGGAACAGACGGAAGGTGAGCCACAGAAGCATTCGAGCAGAAGGATAAACGAGACAGGGGGGAGGGTGACTGACAGAGGAGGGCTGACTGACAGAGCAACAAGGTTGGTGAGACTGCTGATGGCGGCAGGGAGAGTCCCGTAGATGAAGTTGATGGAGATGTTACTGAGCAGCAAAGGGAGGGCCGTGGTGTGGGGGCAAACAGAAAGGAAGAGGGCCGTTGGGGACATTTGAGTCGACTCTGATGGAGGGAGAGTCCCGTTGATGATTTTGATTGAGATGTTGCTGGGAAGAGCAAAGAGAGAGTTGTGAGATAGCAGAGGGGAATTGAACTGAAAGCAAGGGAATTGCAGGGGGAAACCGCGAGGAAGAGCTAGCAGTAAAGAAGAGAAAATGAGAAGGGGAAGCCGTTCTCGAAACGTTCAATGACTGAAATTCACCCCGCAAATATGCTTCCCCACAGAACGCATTCCCTCAACATGCTTACCTCCAACATTCCTCTCCCCAACATGCTTTCCCCACAACATGCTTCCTCCCTCCCAACATGCTTCCCTCCCAACATGCTTCCCTCCCAGCATGCTTCCCTCCCAGCATGCTTCCCTCCCAGCATGCTTCCCTCCCAGCATGCTTCCCTCCCAGCATGCTTCCCTCCCAGCATGCTTCCCTCCCAGCATGCTTCCCTCCCAACATGCGTCCCTCCCAACATGCTTCCCTCCCAACATGCTTCCCTCCCAGCATGCTTCCCTCCCAACATGCTTCCCTCCCAGCATGCTTCCCTCCCAGCATGCTTCCCTCCCAGCATGCTTCCCTCCCAACATGCTTCCCTCCCAACATGCTTCCCTCCCAACATGCTTCCCTCCCAACATGCTTCCCTCCCAACATGCTTCCCTCCCAACATGCTTCCCTCCCAGCATGCTTCCCTCCCAGCATGCTTCCCTCCCAACATGCTTCCCTCCCAGCATGCTTCCCTCCCAACATGCTTCCCTCCCAACATGCTTCCCTCCCAACATGCTTCCCTCCCAGCATGCTTCCCTCCCAACATGCTTCCCTCCCAGCATGCTTCCCTCCCAGCATGCTTCCCTCCCAGCATGCTTCCCTCCCAGCATGCTTCCCTCCCAGCATGCTTCCCTCCCAGCATGCTTCCCTCCCAGCATGCTTCCCTCCCAACATGCTTCCCTCCCAGCATGCTTCCCTCCCAGCATGCTTCCCTCCCAGCATGCTTCCCTCCCAGCATGCTTCTCCCCAGCATGCTTGAACATGCCTCTCCCAGAACATGCTCGTCCCAACCCAAAGATGCTTCCTTCCAACCCAAAGAAGTTTCCTTCCAACCCAAAGAAGCTTCCTTCCAACCCAAAGTTGCTCCCTCCCAAAGATGCTTCCTTCCAACCCAAAGAAGCTTCCTTCCAACCCATAATGCTTCCTTCCAACCTATAAATTCCTGAACTGAGCGTAAATATGCTTCCTTCCAACCCAAATATGCTTCATTCCAACCCAAAGATGCTTCCTTCAAACCCAAATTTGCTTCCTTCCAACCCAAATATGCTTCCTTTAAACCTAAATATGCTTCCTTCCAACCCAGATATGCTTCTTTCCAACCCAATTATGCTTCCTTCGAACCCAAACATGCTTCCTTCCAACCGAATTATGCCTGTTTGTTTCCCTCCAGCATGCCCCACCTCAAACAACCTACTCTGAACTGAGCGTAAACCCTCCTTACAACACGTTGCCACTCACAGGTTGGTGAGGCTGATAAGATTGCTGATGCTGGCAGGCAGTGTCTGGTTCAGCTGGTTGTTGGCGACTTGCCTGTCAGAAAAGGACAAACACGAAAAGGACATTCCAAACAGTGGAATCAACCATTTTAGCTTGCACGATAGGGCTCAGAAAGCGGTAAGCTGAATTCCAGGAAAATCGTTGCTCATGCCTGCCTAAGTTGAGCCAACCGAGCCATGAAAGTCGATGCTATGCCATAATAATTCCAATCTCAGACCACGGCAGCACAAAGGCATCACCTGATAAATTTGGTGCTAGTCAGATGTGTTCAAGTCATTTACGCAGGTGCTTGAGTGCCTACAGGCCCTTGAGTGCCTACAGGTGCTTGAGTGCCTACAGGTGCTTGAGTGCCTACAGGTGCTTGAGGGCGGAGAGTCGGCTAAAGGAGTCTGGGAGCGACCCGTTGAGGCCATTGAAGCTGACGTCACTGGTGGATGAGAGGAGCAGCAAGAGAAGACAAGGAAGACATTAGGGGCATTGCAGGAAACGAGAAACAGAAGCAGAGCCTCGAAGCATTGAAGTTTAGGGTCGACAGAGATGACTGAGAGGTGGAAGCATCTTTGGGTTGGAAGGAAGCATCTCTTGAGTCGACTCAAGAATCAGAGGTGGTACTGAGAGGCCTCTGAAGCTGATGTGACTGGGGGTTGTTGAATGAGCAGCAACAAGAGACGACAAGCAGAGGAAGAGGCTCGAAACGACCAGTAAGTAGGGGTGCATTGAACGAGATGCAGCGGATGTCACTAGTGGGCGATAGGAGGAGATAGAGGACATAAGGGATGCAAGAGGGTGTGTGTCTGTGATGGTTTGCAAATGAGGGATTTGAAATGAGGGAAATGGGAAGGAGGTCCTCGAAACGCCAGGGATGCGAACCACAGTGGGGGAAATGTGTGGTGGATCATGAGATATACAAGCCGAGGTCTCACAACACGTTGCCAAGGTTTCACAACACGTTGCCAAGGTTTCAAAATCCTCAACATTGAGATACACTGATATAATTAGGTTGTGGTCTCACAAGTAGAGGAGGTGAGCAAAATCACCAAAGGACGATGGAATGGATCCGTTGAGCAGATTCTTTGTAAAGTTACTGCATGGTGGGAAGAGGGAAGGGAGGAAAGCGCGTGCATGGAATGTAAGGAAGGCATGCAGATGGAACTCATGGCGCATAGAACTAGGAACTAGGCTACAACTGTGGAACCACGTGACAACAGTTGAGCTTGGAGACGTCTGAAAACTCAACTTATTATCACGTGACTAGACTAGAAGAGTGAAGAGTTACATTCGCGTGAACGTCAGTCAAGCACCAGATTGAAAGTAAGGCGGAAGCTCCTTTGCACCTGTATGCAACAAGGAGAAGCATTTCTGTGAGAAGCAGTAATGTGCTTGGGGCGCGGTAACAGACTGATGACTGGTTGGTGTGGTGTGGGTGCGTACAGAGAGATGATGTTGGTGAGGTTTCCCAGAGAGTCGGGGATGGAGCCGTTGATTGCGTTGCTGGCCAGATTGCTGGGGGTTTGGGCGTGGTGGGAAGGATTGATGAGTATGGAAGGGAGTGAGAAGTAATGGGATGACATGATGGGAGGGATCGATGAGAAGGGATGGGTGTGTGGGTGATGAGAAGGGATGGGTGTGGGTGATGAGAAGGGATGGGTGTGGGTGATGACAACGGATGGGTGTGTGGGAGATAAGAGAATGAACAGTTCACAACAAGAAGAGGGCAGCCGGGTGGCTAGAAATAAATGGGAATGAGGAGTGGAATGAACGGGCAGGAGGGTATTTGGTGCGCCCAGACCCGCCCGGGCACCCAGGCCCGGAATACCCAGGCCTGGCGCATCCAGGTCCGGAACACCCGGGCCCGGGACACCTAAGGTGGACGCTCCCAGGTAAGACGGGCATTCAGAAGAAGCCATTGGTGCTTACAGATAAGTGAGAGCAGTAAGCTGTTGCAGTCCCTGGGGCAGAGTGCCGTTGAGAGAGTTGGCGCTGAAATCACTGCATGGCACGCAAGAGGGCGAGAGATTGTGCAGCTGTGTCACAAGGAAGCGAGGAACGGGGTGATTGCACTACCACAACCCCTGGATTTGGCGGCACAAGGGGTGGGTGATGTGGGTGGTGGGTGTGTTGGGTTGGGTGTGCTGGGAATGGTGGGAGCAGTGCACTGACAGGTGGGAGAGGAGGGAGCTTCTGCCAAGACCCTCAGGCAGAGAGCCGTTCAGCTGGTTCCTGCTCAGGTCACTGCAGGTGGAAGGGGGGGAGGATAGGGAGGCTTGAGTTGAGAGGGAGAGGATTCGAGAGACAAGCACCGGGTTGTGGGACCATGGTGAGGTTCAGGGAGACGAAGGAGGTGACAGTGTGTATGGTGAATAAGGGGGTACAAAGGCAACATGGGGATTGGATGGTGTTGTATCAGGATGTTATTCTTGCCTGTGCTGCAAATAGTGTGTTATTTGCGTTGCATTGAAGGTAGGTGTACACTTGTTAGTTGTTCAAGAGTCCATTTTACCAACCAGTCACCAACATGGAAGATCTACATACGTGACAAACCCATATTGTTTCCTCTCCACTCAGATTTTCCAGTCACAGCTTAGTTCCTATTGTGCTCAGCAGTCTTCCCGGTTCATCTAAGCGTAGCAGAAACCATTGACAGGGTCACTGGAGCATAAAGGGGAAGGTTTGGGAAAGATTGAAGGCGCTCACAGGTGCTGCAGCTGCTGAAGCTTCCCCAGCCCTTGAGAGAGAGTGCCCTGGAAGGCATTTGCACTGAGGTCGCTGTAGAGGGGAGGTGGGGGATGGATGGGGGATGGATGGGGGATGGATGGGGGATGATGGGGATGGATGGATGGGGGATGGATGGGGGATGGATGGGGATGGATGGGGGATGGATGGGGGATGGATGGGGGATGGATGGGGGATGGATGGGGGATGGATGGGGGATGGATGGGGGATGGGGGATGGATGGGGGATGGATGGGGGATGGATGGGGGATGGATGGGGGATGGGGGATGGATGGGGGATGGGGGATGGATGGGGATGGGGGCATGACCGTCGTGGGCCATGGGGATGGGGGCATGACCGTCGTGGGCCATGGGGATGGGGGCATGACCGTCGTGGGCCATGGGGATGGGGGCATGACCGTCGTGGGCCATGGGGTGTGGCCCGAGACGAGAACATGGGTGGACCGCAGGGAAGAAAATGACGGGCGAGCAACTCTATTGAGACTGTTGAGAGAGATGGGGATTCGAGCCGCCGAAGGATGGTATGCCTGACGTACAGGTGGGTGAGGAGGCTATATTTCCGCAGGCGGGGCAGCGAGCCATTCAGTGCGTTGGAGCTCAGATCGCTGCACTCGCAGACACAAGAAATGGAGAGTCCGGCTAAGTAAACGCTCTCTGTGAGTTTACTCACGGGGTGCGCAGCCGAGTGAGACTCACAGGGTGTGCAGGCGAGTGAGATAGCTCAGCATGCTGGGAACAGTGCCATTGAGAGAGCAGCTCGATAGGTTGCTGTGCGCAGGAGGGGGGAGAAGAAACAAGAGAAGGAGAACGGGGAGAGAGGAAGGGAGGTGGGAAGAGTAGAGGGTTAAGATTTCTCATCTTTCTGCCTTCCTCTGCCGTCTCAGGACTGGATGACTTCTTGTTTCCATCTTGCCTCATTGAAGTGCAAGGAGCTAAGAGAATTTGTTAACTACAACATGGCTGCCTTTTGCCCCATCCAATTACTCGCCAAAGAACTCCACTCCCCCAATGTGCTTGTGCGTGAGTGAGCTACAATTGGACTGCACTCCACCCACCTTCCTAGTACCTTCCACACACCTTCCTTCACCATCCTCTCATCGGCCTCTCACTCTTAAACCGTAAACACAGCGCAGACGCGCTTACAGGGTTGCGAGGCGAGTCAAGAGGCCGAGAGACGATGGGATGGAGGACGACAAGCCGTTCTTGGATAAGTTCCTGTCATGGACGCAGGGTGGAGAGGGGCGGAGAGGCTGGGGCGGTGGGGAGGGAGAATGGAGGATGAGAATCCGTTCTTGGACAGGTTCCTGTCATGTACGCAGGGAGGAGAGGGGCGGAGAGGGTGGGGTGGTGGGGAGGGGGAATGGAGGATGAAATGTTGTTCATGGACAGTTTCCTACTGTTACACAAGCAGAGAAGGTTGGGGGAGCGGAACGAGGAGAGGGGGAATGAGGGAGGTGGGATGGAGGGGGGTGGGGTGGGGGGGCTAAGGAGGTAGACAGGGTGGAAGCGAGGAAGACACGTTTCTGCGCAATTTCGAAAAGGAAGTAAGTGATTGGGCAGGGAAACAGAAAATTCGAGTCAGAAATGCGAAGATTCATCGGTCTAATGAAACTATGGGTTGGTGTGGTGAAGGACCAAATAGGCCTGACATGACAGGACAGCATGCCGCTGCTGTCTGTCAGGATTCTCTCAGCTCAGAACACAAATGAAATGGCAGTGCGCAACCAGCTTCAAACCTTGACTGTTCTTTCCTTCTGAGAAAATATCACCACATGCTTTGAGCTTACATCGTCTCGAGTCTCGTGAGAAAGCCAAGGCTCCATGGCACGCTGCCAGTCAAGCTGTTGTTGCTCAGATCACTGAAAGATGGGGAAACAAACACGCACAGCAACGTCCATCCTCTTAGAGTGGGTTTTGAGATCAGTAGAGAAAGGAAGAATAGATAGATGCAACGTCAGGGTGCTTTCATCTGGTTCTCTCTCAATGGAGCAGTAGCAGCACAATCTTAATCTTGATGAAGAAGTAGCAGCTGAGAATAGGCTATGGCAGGTTGAAACGAAGTCGCCTTCATTCCTGCCATAGTCTCCTCTTCACGATCACTCATAAAGGTTCTTCACTTCTGGAACTCTCTTCATGCCTTGACAATAAGAACCTTAAACAGCCATCAGATCAACCCTGCCAGTTGTGTGGGGATAACGGCTCTTTATGGAATGGAGCGCAGAGGTGTGAGAGTGTAATGCCTTTCAGAGGGTAAAGAAGGGTGTGGTTGGTAGCTTACAGGGCGGTGAGCGACTTGAGTCCGCCCAACGAGGCTGGGACGGTTGAGTTGATGTGGTTGGACGAGAGATCTCTGTCGGAGCAGAAAGGGAGGGAGAGTAAAAAAATCAAGGGAGAGGAAAAAATGCAAGGGAGCGCTTGTATTAAACAGATTGACTTGAGCACTGAACACGGGCACTTTGGGAAGCCGCGAAGTCATTTCTGGTGAAAGTTAGCATGTCAATAGAGTGGCGCATGGAGGGATGTTCCGGAGGGAGGCTATGAAAGAACCCCCTCCATTCCCTGTCACTAGGCATGCAGGTGAGAAATGACTCCTCAAAGCCACGGCCAGGATCTTGTAGGCGCCTCAACAACCGGCCTGGCTTCTGTGCCACGAGCATGAGAATTTTGAGTCTCACAGGTCGGGGAGCACCCAAAGGCCGCCCGGGATTTTAGGTGTCTCAGAACAGGACCCTGCCCCACGAGCATGGGCATTTTGAGTCTCACAGGTGTCGCAGCTCGGGGAGCACCCAAAGGCCGCCCGGGATGGATCCGTGCAAGGTGCTGTCGCTCAGGTCCCTGGCAGGGAGTGAAAGGAGGGCGCAAGGAAGCAGGCAGGGCATGAAGGGAGGGCACGGAGAGGGGAGAGGGCTTTAATTTGAGTTGACGGTCATCCTGCGTCGGATCCGTGCAATGAGCTGTCGATAAAATCACTGAAAGGCCACGTGGGCAAGACATGGAAACGGGGCATGGGGCCACCGTGCAAGGGCACGGGGGCAGGGCATGGGACGGGCACAGGTGCAAAGCATGGGGACAGGACATGCATGTGTGGACCATGTGTGTGGGCTGGCCATGAACGGTAGGGGAAAGGCATGTGGGACGGAACGGAGGGGGAACGGAAGACCATGGTTCCCAAAAGCAAGGCATCAGAGGCATCGCCTCTTGTCTGTGTGTTTCTATCCACCAACGGCCAAGGCTCTCACACAGCCTGCTCTCACACAGCCTGCTCTCACACAGCCTGCTCTCACACAGCCTGCGCATCCACCCTCAGGCGTGCTCACACACGTGCTCCCCTGCCCATCCACCTTCGTTGTTGACTTTTGAGTCGACTCAAAGGTCAGCCTACTATCCCCCTTGGTATGCTATGCTCACACACAGCCTGTTTCCCTCAGAACCTCTCTCAAGCCCCTGACCTTCCACACTTTCTCAATTCACAAGTCTCTCAAACCTCTCAGATCTACCATGCTTCCAAATCTCGAGCCTCTTAAGCCTCTCATGTCTCTCGCGCTTTCAACTCTCAAGCCTCCCAAGCCACCGACTCACAGGCGCCTGAGCTTCGTCAGCAGGCTGAGAAACGACGGCGTGGTGCCCCATAGGCTGTTGTGACTCACATCGCTGCAGGGAGAATGGGAGAGGAGGGTGGGGAGGGAGGATGCAGACGGTAGGAGAGGAACGGTAGAGAAAGAGAGGGAGGGACGGTGCGAGGGGCGGATGGGGGGAGATGGAGTGTATGGGGTAGGAAGAGCAGGAGGAGAGCACGGGAGGAAAGGCTGAGAGGGGGGTGAAAGGGGAGATGGGAGTGGGGAAGCTATGAAACAGAGGGCGCAGGAAGGGGAGGGAGGAACAAGGCAGGGGAGGCTGAGAGTTGGGGAGCGGAGGGAAGGAGGGAGGGAGTGGGATCTTACAGGAGAGAGAGGGAGGTGAGTGCACTGAAGGTGGTGGGGATGTAGCCACTCAGAGAGCAGTTCGCGAGGTTGCTGGTTTGGGAAGAAACACAGGCATACAGTTTTGAGACACTAGATGAAGTGCATGCAGCAGATGAGCTGTTACTACTGAGGCGCCTCAAACGGAAAAGACATATTTGGAGACGAGATGTATCATGGTAGGGAGGGACGAGAGGTCCATACAAGAGTGCAGAGAGTGAGGAGTGGTGACGCTTACAGGAGAGTGAGGGAGGTGAGGTTGCCAATCTCCCTAGGAATGCTTCCGTTTAAATAGACGTTGCTCATGTCTCTGTTCGTGAGATGCCCATGCCATGACATGACATGACATACCATGGAGAGGCGTGGCATGGCACGTGTCATGCCCCATATGACATAGCATCATCCATCACATGTGGTGTGTGTCAACAGACAAACGTAGATCCGTCATTTCATGAGGCAAGGTAAAAGAAAACAACATTGCATGTACCAAGTTCATTGCGAGGCATGCGACGGCAGTAAGGCCCGGAAGTGACTTTTGAGTCGACTCGGAAGTAATATTGGTGATAGCAGAAAGGGGTCCGGAAACCGCAGATGGGAACGAGCAGTAGGCCATGGCAAGTCATTGTGCCTCACATTGCCACCACCGGGCCTCACATTGCCACCACCGGGCCTCACATTGCCACCACCGGGCCTCACATTGCCACCACCGGGCCTCTCATCGCCACCACCGAGCCTGGCATTGCCACCACCGTGCCTCACATTGCCACCACCATGCGTCACATTGCCACCACCGGGCCTCACATTGCAACCACCGTGCCATTGCTGTCACAAGTCACCCCTTGCACTTGGCTGCAGTCCCCCCCTCCACTCCACCCTGTGGGCGCCACTCCCCATGCCCCCGCGCTCGCCGCCAGAGCTTGTGCTGTTGGAAGAGAGGGACGAAGGGAAGAAGGGAAGAAGGGACGAGGGGAGGAGCACAGCACACACGGCTACATGAGTGGGTGTTGGACCAGGAGGGGAGGGTAGGATAACAAGCACATCAATCAAGAGCGGTCTAAGTTTGGCGCCTCAGCAAAGGACTCATAAGCGGAGCAGGGAAAGACTTGGGAGAAGAGAAGTTTTTAGCATGGGAGCTGGTATATAAGGGTTCATGATTTGCGGATGGATGCATTGCATGCGCATGTATGGATGCATGAGAATACAATTATGATTTGGCAAAGAGCGCAGCTCTGCTCAGTGCCAAACCATCTCATCTCATGGCATCACGCATCCCATCACATTGCATCCCATCACATTGCATCCCATCACATTGCATCCCATCACATTGCATCCCATCACATTGCATCCCATCACATTGCATCCCATCACATATCACATTGCATCCCATCACATTGCATCCCATCACATATCACATTGCATCCCATCACATGCATCCCATTTGATCCCCTCCCATCCAACCCATCTTCGTCACATCACGTCCCGTCCCAACCGATCCACTCCATCACCCCATCTCCACCCAATACATCCCATTGCAGCCAACCCATCCTTTCCCATCCCATCCCATCCGTTCCATCCCATCTTATCCTTTCCATCCCATCTCATCCGTTCCATCCCATCTCATCCGTTCCATCCCATCTCATCCCTTCCATCCCATCTCATCCGTTCCATCCCATCTCATCCCTTCCATCCCATCTCATCCCTTCCATCCCATCTCATCCGTTCCACCCCACCTCGTCCGTTCCATCCCATCTCATCCGTTCCATCCCATCTCATCCCTTCCATCCCATCTCATCCCTTCCATCCCATCTCATCCGTTCCATCCCATCTCATCCGTTCCATCCCATTTCATCCCTTCCATCTCATCCGTTCCACCATCTCATCCGTACCATCCCATCTCATCCGTTTCATCCCATCTCATCCGTTTCATCCCATCTCATCCGTTCCATCCCATCTCATCCCTTCCATCCCATCTCATCCGTTCCATACCATCCCATCCGTTCCATCCCATCCCATCCGTTCCATCCCATCTCATCCCTTCCGTCCCATCTCATCCATTCCATCCCATCTCATCCCTCCCATCCCATCTCATCCCTTCCATCCATCTCATCCCTTCCATCCATCTCATCCCTTCCATCCCATCTCCGCCGTTCCATCCATCTCATCATCCGTTCCATCCCATCTCATCCGTTCCATCCCATCTCATCCCTTCCGTCCCATCTCATCCATTCCATCCCATCTCATCCATTCCATCCCATCTCATCCCTTCCATCCCATCTCATCCCTTCCATCCATCTCATCCCTTCCATCCATCTCATCCCTTCCATCCATCTCATCCCTTCCATCCATCTCATCCCTTCCATCCATCTCATCCCTTCCATCCCATCTCCTCCGTTCCATCCCATCTCATCATCCGTTCCATCCCATATCCGTTCCATCCCATCCCTTCCTTTCTTTCCATCGAGTCACCTTGTAGAGCGTCTATCCGTGCAACGGGTTGTGCAGTGTGCACGGGGAGGCTCGATGCGAGGATCGTCACGAAAAGAAGATAAGACATCGCTTGAAAGCAGGGCGTCGCGCGTCTATCGATGCAACGGCTTCCGTTTGAGAGTAGCGCGCCGAGCGAGCGGCCTTCGCTTTATTTTATGGCTCGGTCTTCGTTTTGCGACGCGAACGAAGGGTTACTAGGAAAGACTACTCAAATGATTCCCGAATTGGAAGGGACGTTGTGGCTGAAGTGGAACAAAATTGGCTTCTGCTCGCTCGCTGTATCGCGCCGCGAAATTCTCGTACCGTCGCTACCGCGGAAATGGTCGCGTGGGCTAGTATGACTACGAGTGAGCTCAAAGGAGGGCAAAGAGGTGCAACGAGGTTCAATGTATAACGGTTCGAAAGGACAGTACTATGGATTGCAATGTAAGCGTATGAAAATGGGTGTGTGTTGTGAATTTCCTCGGGAATTATCGGAAGGATCATAGGTTGCAAACACGAGAGAAGTGGCGTGCAATGCAAGTGCAAGGGCTTGCTGTTGTTGAGGTGGGGATTGAAATCGGAAGAAGAAAGATGGCGCGAGGGTTCACCAGCGAACTTGACGAGATGCGTACGATGGTTTCGCAAAAGGCTCGCTCGGAATTTTCTTATCTGCTGAACGAATTTCTTCTTAGTCGCCCGTCACGTTTTTGGCTTCGACGAATTTGAAACCCCGAATTTGAAACCACCTGAACCAAGCAGCAGCAGGTCGGGTGGTGCATGGGTGATTTGTGGTGGTGTTGAGAAGGAATGAAGACCTTGGCGAAAGATATTTGCTTTAAACAATCAGCGTTACCACATGAACACCCAGAGTCCGCTTCACTTCCCTTGTTTCTCACCGTGAATTATTGGACCCAACATCGATTGCCGTGGAAAGCGCTGGAAACAGATTCACATGTGGGAGAGCATGTTACGCATTTGCATCGCAGGTAGCCGTTGGATTTGTGTGCACTTGAATCCTCTGGTCTGGGGAGACTCTCGCCACACCATATTTTCTTCACCCATCCTCACCTTCACAGAATCCTCCACAGTGTTATTCGGGATACGTTCTCCGAGCGAACTTCGGATTTCCAGCTTCTCTGAGGCGGGTCCGTAAAATACGCACTCCCGAATATACCCTACCTGACCATTCCAACGCTAGAACAAGCCGCTCTAGATCGTACCAAAACTTATTCAGCCGCATTCGGACGTACTCAACAAACAAGCCCTGATCTGGTTGGTCAAATTCTCAACCACGAACCCCCATAACGATCTACATCGCATTTATGCCTCGCCGATATGGGTGCTGTTCGCCAGGAAATCGTAAATTGAAATGAAAAAGATGGCATCGGCATCGCGACCGCATCTGGAAACGGAGGCGGAACCCACCTCCAAGGTTTGGCCGTAATGCCGTTCAAGAAACTTCTGCGCCTGCGGTTGCGGAATTTCGCAACCGCATCGGGAACCTCCGTCCCCACCTTCCCCCCAATCCCCTTTGAACGGCAATGCGACGGCTGTGCCATCGCTGTGCTTCGAAAAACGCAGCATGGCGATGGCATGGCTTGGGGATGGAACTTTGCCTGGGGACGAAGTTGCGTCCCCGCTTCCATATGCCGTCGAGCAGTTCGTTTTGGTTGACAAATGGAGGCGTTCGCCAGACACCCATTTGATTGTTGGTTTGGACGGTTGGGGAGGCTCGGCACCTTTTTTACGGGCTGACCAGGCTGACGGAGGTAAACGAACCCTAACTGACGGGATCAAGAAGGCGAGACCCACCTTCCTGATCCCGTCGTTATCCCATGGTTTTTTGCTTCATTGGTGCTGGCGAACAGCCCCATGATGCAGCTGCTAGGACAACGATACACGTGTTCTCGTTTAGAGTCCGACGGAAAGACACTTCGCGCGCGGACTATGTGGCAAAACTCACAAACCCCGGGCAAAAATGGAAAATTATAGTCCCTTTTCAAGAAATTTGCGTTGAGAGCAGTTTCTTTGCTATTAGTTGTTGTTTCCTGTCAAATACGTGTTGAAGGAAGTTGGCCCCGCCCTCGCTTGGGCAAAACAGACTTCGTGGTCGGGTGTGTGGGAGATGCAGCCGACCCTCTGCACTATGCGAGATCTGGAGCTTCTGCGCATGTTGGGTTGCCTGTACACGAGGTGTACTAGGGAACCCATGCAAGAGTAACTGAAGCATCCGCGAGTGCAACGCAAAACGTCTCGTGCACATGTGCAAGTGGCGCAGCTGGTGCAGAGGTTCATGGGTGTTCATCTGCGCAGGGTCGCATCTGACCCTACGCACCCTCGCGAATGTACAGCCGAATTTTGGCCAGAAATACGAATGTCCCCTAATTTCGACCAATGAGGAGCCAGCATTTCAGAATGTCGACCGAGGTGGTCGACGAAGGTGGTCGACGAAGGTCGTCGACCCACGACGACGAAGGTCGTCGACCCGCGACGACGAAGGTCGTCGACCCGCGACGACGAAGGTCGTCGACCCGCGACGACGAAGGTCGTCGACCCGCGACGACGAATGTCGTCGACCCGCGACGGCGAAGGTCGTCGACCCGCGACGACGAAGGTCGTCGACCCGCGACGACGAAGGTCGTCGACCTCCGACGACGAAGGTCTTCGACCTGCAGGGTTGCCGGGGACTTTACCTGGTCGACCGAGTTACCTGCTCGACGAGGTTCTACGAAGGTGCGCGAACGTCGTCGAGGCTGCTGTGGCGAAGTCGACCGACGTGGCAGCACGTGGTCGACGTGGCTCATCAGGTGCAACTGTCTGCATGTGGCCGACCTGGC